TATGAAAGAACAGAACAGAACTCCAGGAAAAGAACTAAGCAAAATGGGGATAAGCAACCTAACAGATGCAGAGTTCAAAACACTGCTTATAGTGATGCTCAATGAACTTAGTGAGAACCTCAGTGAACTTAGTGAGGGCCTCAAGAGCATAAAAAAGGACCAGTCAGAAATGAAGGAGGCACAGTCAGAAATGAAGGAGGCACTAACTGAAATAAACAATAATTTACACAGATTCAATAGTACAGTAGGTAAAGCCAAGAAGTAAACCATCGATTTGGAGTATAAAGAAGCAAAAAACACCCAATTGGAACAGCAAAAAGAAAAAAGAATCCAAAAAAATGATAGTATAAGGAGCCTCTGGGACCAACATTCGCATCATAGGGGTGCCAGAAGGAGAAGAGAGCGAAGAAGAAATCGAAAACCTATTTGAAACAATAATGGCAGAAAAATTCCCTAACTTGGTGAAAGAAACAGACATACAAGTCCAGGAAGCACAAAGAGTCCCAAACAAGATGAACCCCAAGAGGCCCACACCAAGACACATCATCATCAAAATGCAAAAGGTTCAAGACAAAGAGAGAGTCTTAAAAGCAGCAAGAGAAAAGCAGGTAGTTACCTACAAGGTACTTCCCATAAGACTGTCAGCTGATTTCTCAAAAGAAACTTTGCAGGTCAGAAGGGAGTGGCAAGAAATATTCAGAGTGATGAAAAGCAAGAACCTACAACCAAGATTACTTTATCCTGAAAAGCTGTCATTTATAATCAATAGCCATATAAAGGGTTTCCCAGACAAGGAAACGCTAAAGGAGTTCATCCACCAAACTATTATTATATGAAATGTTGAAGGGTCTTCTTGAAGAAAAAGATAAAAAATATGAACAAACAAAATGGCAGTGAATACATATCTGTTGACAATGGAATCTACAAACAAAATGAACAAGCAGAACAGAAACATTGTCATAGATACAGAGAACTTTTCTTGGTTGCCAGATGGGAGAGGGGTTAGGGGAATGAGTGAAAAGGGTGAAGGGATTAAGAAGTACAAATTGGTTGTTAGACTGACAAACCTCAAAGGGAAGGGGGGTTGGGGAGTGAGAAGAAATAAACCAAAGAACTTATATGCATAACCAAAGGACACAGACAATAGTGTGGGGAAAGGCAGGAGGGGGGCAAGAATGGAGAGGAGGGGGTCAATGGGGGAAAAATGAGGAACATCTGTAATACATTCAACAATAAAGATAATTAAAAAAAAAATGAGTATACAAAATTTTATCCACATAATAATTAAAAGTACCTAAAATGTGTCTGTTCATGATCGACTACTAGAGACACGCAAATGAAAGGGATGTGTTGTTAGGTGGGAGTACAAGTGCTGCTTTTTAAAAAACTTTATAGGTGTTATAATATGGTATGATAATGCACATGATAAATTAAAGTTTGGTAAAAAAAAAAAAAAGTCAGATTCAGATAGCAAAATTCTAATTTTCTTAGGGTTTTCAGAGAGAGGCCTTTTCCATGAAGTGAGGTGCGCCTGGTCATGCTCGTTCTGTTTGGTTTCCTGCCAGCCTCACCAGAGGAACAAGATGCTGGATCAATCACTGCAGTTGGTCACGTCCTCATGCTTAGCACTCGTTCACCTGACCCTGGACAATCTGTTTATTTATGGAGAAAAGGCTCTGCGCAAACAAGAGGAGGATTTCTGGATGTGGGAAAGCCAGGGTGTTAAATATTCTTCTTCATATGCTCAGCTTCCTTCCTTGAGGAAGGGCCCCAGTGGGAAACCGGAGGTGGCCTCTGTCCAGGCAGGAAGGAGAGTCAGCCAAACTCTGGCCTTCTGCTCTGCATCCTCCCGAGCTCTGTCCACCTGTTCCTGGAGGCATGTCTCCTCCAGGATGCCTGCCCCGCTCACCCTTCAGAGGCAGCGGTAGAAGAGTAGAGAGACCCAGACTGGGAGTCAGGGACTGACTCTGTCCCTAAGTGCATTATCTCAAACAAGTCACTTAGCCTCCCTGAGCCTCAGTTTTCTCATCCATAAAATAATCCTACCTATCTTGCCACGCTGCCAGAGAGTAAATGAGATTGTCTTGTTGTTTCATTCTAGGCCCCACACTATTTTTCTGCCTACTGCTTCTCAGTCTCCTTGGCCTGTACCTCACATTTATCAGTCCTCTGCCCTCCTATTCTCTCTCCATGGGCTTCCAGGCCGAACCCATCACTCATCACACCCATGCTCCAAATCCACACACCTAACTGGCCCTTTCCACTTGCATCTCCCACAAGTGTCTCAAACTTATCTAAAATAGAACTCATCTTCCTCTCCAAACTTAGTCCTCACCCAGTGTTCTCCATCCAATACTTCTAGCACCCACCCAATTGCTCAAGCCAGAAACCTGGGGATATTCCTTGTCTCTACTCCAATATGCATGGATGACAGCAGCAGCAGCAGCAGCAGCAGCTATCTTCCACCGTGGGGCTTGGGAAACAGAGAAAACTAATGGAAGGAAGAAAACACACCAAGAAACCTGGCAGAGAATAGGAAAGACTGTCAGGGTTCATAAAAGACTACATGCTCTGATTCTGTTCTTGAGCCTGTGCTTAAGTTAGTTTCAGTTGGATTTCTATGCTTGCAAATACAAGAGTCCTAACTGATGTAAACACTGTCTGTCAGAATAGGCTAGGTTATGCTGTGGCAATTAACCCCCACATTTTGGTGGCTGAATTCTACTACATGTACATCAGCAGCAGGCAGCTCTGCTCATTGCAGTCCCTCAGAAAGTAGTCACCACCTTGAATGTTGTTGGTCACTGTTTCAGAGGGAAAGAGAAAATATAAGGGGTCTGATACCAGCAAGTCACTATTCCAGCTCAGAGGTGACATGTCACCTCCATTCATAACGCATTGACCAGAACAATTTACCTCACCCCACCCAACCACAAGGGGGCTGATCCTGCCCATTACCTGAAATATTTGGTGAATTACCTTAATAACTGCCATACATTTCCTGCTGCCTATTCTGTGCCAAGCTCTGAGCCTAATGAAACTGAGGCTCAGGAAGGTTAGGTAACTCAGCCACTGCACCATGCAGAATCATTCTCAGTGGTCTAGAAGGATGGGACAGACTGTTGAGTGAGAGACTTATTTAAGAGGGCTAACACATTACCTGGTACTAAAAATAAATGCTGAGTAAATGTTTGTTTCTTTTTCAGTTTATGGAGGCATTCAAGAACAGGCTTGTGTGGTCACTTATTAGGGTGCTGAAGAGGGTAGCCTCGACCAGATGGGTAGCAGCACTGTTCACAGCCTTCCAAGCATGAGAATCTAACTCCACTTTTCCTAGAATAACCATTTCCCTTTTTGGCAGTAATTAACTACTGGCAGTAATTAATATGGCAAGGTAATTAACTACTCCCCACCTCCACACTCCTACAATAGCATTGTTGGCTCCCTTAGGGGGAAATTAAGGCCTAGAAAGGATATGGGCAAATTATGGGTGGACAAACCAATCAGCTAATGCTGAGTGTCCATGGCATGAGAAGCATATTGTCCTGAGCTCTTAAGATAGCGTTTATAGCAGGAAAAGAGCACAAGAAGGAGGCTTATACCTGGGACCTAGTCCTGGCTTTGTTAATTTACTATGTGGCCTAGAGCAAGTTTCTTCCAAAATCTTGGTTTTGTCTTTACACAACGAGGAGACAGGAATATACCTCTAAAGTCTTTTTTATCTTTAGTAACTGGTATAATTATGTGCAGAGTCAAAAATCAAACTTCAGATGTGGGAGGACTCACCTTCTTAGAAGCCAGTGAGGCCATAGAACCCTGGGAAATAAAAAATGAATTTAGATATGATATTGTCTAAAGGTCCATCTTTCAATATGGCAGTCACTAGCCACATGTGGTTAGTGAACATATGAAGTGTATTACATAATGAGGTGTGCTGTAAATGTAAAATACACACTGAATATCTGGATTTAGTATAGAAAAAGTGAAAAACAATTTTTTTTTCTTCACCCGAGGACATTTTTGCATTTATCTTCAGATAGAGTGGGAGGGAGGGACAAAGAGAGAGAAACACCGATGTGAGAGAGACACACTGAGTGGTTGCCACCCACACGACCCCAACTGGGGCTCGGGACAAACTGCAACCAAGGTACTTGCCCTTGGCGGGAACTGAACCCAGGACTGGTCTGTGGGCCAATGTTCTAACTGTTGAGCCAAACCGGCCAGGGCAAAAAAGTGAAATATTTTTATATTGACAATATTTTGGGCCCACCGAGTTAACTAAAATGTTAGTAACATTAATGTCAACTGTTTCTGTTTCCTTTTTTAATGCAGCTACTAGAAAATGTGAAATTATAATGAGGCTCACATTGTATTTCCATTGGACAGTGCTTGTGTAAGGGAAAACTGAAACCCAGAGTAGGTAAAGGATTTGCTCTGGAGCCAGCACTGGAACCAGGGTTACCTGACTTCTCATTCAAGGCTCTTTTCACCTTAACCACCTGTGGTAGCCAGTCTCCAAGATGGTCCCTAATGATCCTCACCTCCCATCCTGGTGTAGTCCCTTCCACAATAAGTAGCCTCCTAATAAGTAGGGCTCACTTATTAGGAGGCTAAAGGAATGACTGCAATTTCCAGTGCTGGGTCATAAAAGACATTGTGGCTTCTACCTTGTCTCTCTGACATCACTTGCTTTGGGGGAAGCCAGTTGTTGGGTCATGAGAATATTCAAGTAGCTCTATGGAGTGGCCCACATGGTGAATAACTCAGGCTTCCTATCATAAACCAGCAGCAACCAAGCATGTAAGTGAACTATCTTAGAAGCTGATCCTTCAGCCCCAGGCAAGCCTTCAGGTGACAGCTGTCCCAAAACCACCCAGCTAGGCTTCTCCCAAATTCCTGACCCACAGACTATATATGTGATAATAAATGTTTACTGTTTTAAGTTTGTTTTGGAGTGATTTGTTATGCAGCAATAGATAACTAATACACAGCTCTGTATACTTAGAGATCTTATATAGAAAAACCCACTTCTGTCTTTGGGAAATGTTCTTATCTTCCCCCCAGTATCTAGCCTCATTTAGGAAACCTAACTAAAAATAGCTATCAGGCTGAAGGAATGCAATCCAGGAAGACAGGATCCTATTCTATTCTTTAAAGAGATTTTCCCTTTATTGCAGGAAGTACCACATCATATCACCTTCACCAGGGTCACCCAGAGACATGATTCCCACAAAATCAAAGGAACCAGAAGCCCAAAATTGCCCAACTAAATACAGTATTGAGGAAGTAATAAATAATGGAGAAATGACACTCTAATCTTAGAAAGTGGTATCAATAGTAGTGCTAATGCATCATATTTAAAAAACATGTTACTTTTCATGTTTTCACTTCTATATCTGAGGTAGGTGGGGAAGATATAAATAAACCAGATTACATATAAAAACAATGGCTAAGAGCTCTTGATTGGCCCATAGTCTCATGGTGAGTGAATGACAGGATCAAATGTAGAATCTGGGTTTCCTTGACTCTAAGTCTGGCTTGATGCTTTCCAAGGTAGGACCTCCTGGCTGTGATAACATGAACGTCTTTCAGTTGGAATTGTCCTCTGAGATCAAGGTGCACTTATAAGTCTCCTTAAAGGCCTCCAGGAAAGGTGGTATTACTTCATCTACAGTGACGTGCCTTTGGAGCTCCTTACTCAGGGAAGTGACGCCTGTCCCAACCAGCCCACAGGGCACAATGTGCTCAAACCACGTGAGGTCTGTAGAACAGTTAATGGCCTGGCCGTGGGATGTGATGTGCCTTCCACAGCGGACTCCTGCAAGACAAGCCAAAGGGTGTTAGAACAATACGTTCCCTCCCCAGGCTTCAGGATCCCCCCAGTGTGTTGAGGGAACTGGACTAGATCACTGACTTTCCAACTGTCTGGAGCACCCAAGGGGTTGTGCACAGATTGGAGAGGGGGACAAAGTGCGGGGAGTGGTATGTGGCTCCACAACAGCTGCACTTAGGGAGATGAACAAAAATGTCTTCAACACAGAGATTGTTGCTTAATAGTAATAAATAATAATAATAATAATGTGTGAGAACTACTGACACTGAAGTAACCTGGCACTTCACTTCTCATGTCTCTCCATTTGGAAAGTTGTACAAGATGACTTCTGAGGGCCCTTCTGGCTCTGAATATAACACATCAGTGATAAGGCTTAAAAACTCTTCAGCACAGCGGGTGGTTCTATTCAAAGCCCACGCCTGACACACCTCCTTTGGTCCAGCCCCGCCAGGCCCGGACGCTCACCGATAGCACAGATCTTCCGCTCGCCCAGCCAGACGCCGGTGTAGGGCGGTGGCCGTGCGCGGGCGCCCCGCAGACCCTGGAGCTCGCACAGGCGCACGGCGCACGCCTCCAGCGCCGCCACGTGTGTGCGCAGGCGCAGGCCCAGGCGCCGCAGATCGAGTACTGGGTGGCAAAGCAGCTGGCCCGGCCCATGGAAAGTGGCCAGGCCGCCGCGGCCTGTGGCCTGCACCTCGGCCCCCAAGGCCCGCAGCCGCGCCACCTCCTCGGACGTCAGGCCGCCGCGCAGCCCCGCAGTGTACACAGGCCCCGCGGGCTCGCAGACCAGAAGTGCACCCGCCTCAGTCCTCGACTGGGCCTCGATGGCCGGCTCCGCTTGCAGCAGCCGCAGCCAGCGCTCCTGCAATGCCAGTAGCTCAGCATACGGCACCCGACCCAGTCGCACGAGCTGGACTACCGGTAGTCGCATGGTGCCCGCCTGGGCGCCCGCGCGGCCCCGCCCCCTGCATGGGCGGGGGACGTGCCGGGAGGGGCGGGGCCTAGGGAGCAAGTCCGGAGCCACTGCTCCAAAGTGCTTGCTACAGGCTCTTGAGAGACTGTGATCCCAAGATTCAGTATAGGGTGTGTCTCATTCATTCATTTCAGCAATCAGTATTTCGGGCCTGCGTGTGCCTTAGGCGCTTGATACAGTGGGACACAATGTACAGGGGAATAAAAGATCTGCCTTGGGAAGCTTACATTCTTACAGCAGAAAACAAGCAAACATTAAAGCATGAAAGAAAAATAAAATAGGGTAATGTGACATTCTCGAGGAAGAATCTCAAAAGAAGATTAACGTGCAGCAGGTTTATTGGGGTTGGGGAGATGGGGTAGAAGAGGGGAGATACTTTCAAGACCATGCCTGTGAAGAGCGGGGTAGGAGCAGGATTCGGCAGAGGGAGAAGTTAATCTCAGCAGAGGCCTCAGCCAATCCCAAAGAATTCTCTGAGCCTGGGATGACCTTTCAGAGTTGTTCCAAGTTAAAGAAGGGGACCAGAAATGAATAATTTCGTATTGACCAGTGATAGATAGAGGCTGTATCTGGAGAAGCGCTATAATTAGCAAGGCTGCTTCCTTCGTGGAGGACAATTCTCAGTGAGGAATTATGAACCGTGAGCAATCTACTCCCAGAAACTGGGGACATAAATGACTGGCTAGGTCCTGAGGGTGGATCTGGACCACAGTATTCATTATGTTGTATTGGAATGAATTTATTAATTCAGTAAAGTTACTGGGTGCCAACGATGTGTTAGCCCACTGCTAAGTGAAGAGGATATACAAGGCCATTACACCCCTGTACTACTAATAGCATGCAGAACCGTTTTTATGTCTTCAGTGTATCTTCTGAATCTGTCTTCCAAGCTACAGCTAAGGATCATTCAACTGAAAAGAAAGAAGAATGAAAAGGAGAAAGCAGAAAAGTATAGAGAATATTATAACATTACTGTTTACCCATCATCCAGACTTGCTGAATATTAATGCTTCTAAACTTTTTGCTCAGGTCTTTTTTAATTTTAGAAACTAATAACACTGATCACTCCCATAGATATCTGAAAGATGTTTCATTAATATATACATTAAAATCATAAGAAAATATTAACAAATTGAATCCAGCAACATATAAAAGGATTAATACATTACGGTGAAGTAGTGTTTATCCCAGGAATGCAAGGCTGGTTTAACATTCTATTTTTGTTTTTTTTTTAATCCTCACCCGAGGACATTTTTCCATTTTTTGTACAGATAGAGTGGGAGGGAGAGACCCGGGTTCGGTTCCCGCTAAGGGCACGTACTTCGGTTGCAGTTTGTCCCCGGCCCTGGTTGGTCGTGCGGGTGGCAGCCACTCTATGTGTCCCTTCACGTCGATGTTTCTCTCTCTCTCCCTTCCTCTCTCTCCCTCCCACTCTATCTGTACAAAAAAATGGAAAAATATCCTCGGGTGAGGATTAAAAAAATATATATATATACATATATAATTCATTATAAAGGAGAAAAACTATATGATTCTTTTTCATAGAGTCAGAAAAAACAGTTGCCAAAAATCAACACCTACTCTGCCTAAAACACTCAGCAAATTAGGAAGAGAAGAGAAATTCCCCAATCTGATGAAGGGTATTGCCTCAATCAGCGTTCAGATGAGAAAGAAACCACATAGGTAATATTTTAATTAAATTTTTTATTTTGAGAAAATTGAAGACTCACCTTGCAATTGTAAGAAATAATACAGAGAGATCTTGTATACCTTTTACCCAGGTTCCCTCAATGGTTATGTCTTGCCAATGCCACAATTAGATGTTGATGTTGATAAAGTCAAGACACAGAGCATTTATACCATCATAAACATCCCTCATGTTGCTCTTTTATATCTACACTACTACTTAACTCCTGGTAAACACTAATCTGTGTTATATAAATGGAATTATGCAGTATGTATACTTTTGGAATTGGAATTTTTTTACTCAGTATAATATTCTGGAGACTCATCCAGGTTGTCGTGTATATTAATAGTTAATTTTTAAAAATTGATGAGTAGTGTTCCATGGTATAAATGTACCACAATTTGTTTAAACATTCACCCATTGAAGAATAATTAGGTTATTTCCAGTTTTCAAATATTCTGAATAAAGCTGCTACAAACATTCATGCACAGGTATCTTGCATAACTATGCATTTTTATTTTTCTGTAGTAAGTGCCCAGGAGTGTATTTATTGTATTATGTAATATAGGGTCATATAGTAGCTACATGTGTAGTTTTTCAAGAAACTGCCAAATTGTTCTCCAGAGTAGCTATACCATTTTACATTCCCACCAGCAATATACGTATATATCCATATATGTGATCCAGTTTCTCTGCATTCTTGCCAGCATTTGGCATTGTCATTATTTTTTATTTTAGATGTTCTGATATACGTATAGTGGTTTTTCATTGTGCTTTTAATTTATATTTCCCTAATGGCTAATGCTGTTGAATATCTTTTCATGTGCTTATTTTCCATCTGTATATTCTCTTCAGTGAAACGTCTGTTCATGTCTTTTGCTTATTTTCTAAATACTAGTCCTTTGTCTGATATGTGGTTTGTAAATAGTTTCTCCCCCTCGATGGCTTGTATTTTTATGGATCATGCTTTTGGTCTAAGAAGTCTTTGCATAGCCCTAAATCCTGAAGATATTCTTCTGTGTTTTTTTCTAAGTGTTGAAACTTTGGTATTTTCCCCCCTCCTATGGATGTCCCTTTGCTCCAACACCATTTGTTCAAAAGGCTGTGTTCTTTCCATCTAATTGCTTTTAAATTTTTGTCAAAAATCGGCTGGGAATATTTATATGGGCCCATTTCAGGATTCTCTTCCACTGATCTATGTGTCTTTCCCTCCACCATTACCACATATTCTAATTACTGTAACTATATAATAAATCTTAAACTCAATTAGTCTGATTCCTCCCACTTTATCTTCTTTTTTCCAAAATTGTTTTAGTTATTCTAAATTGTTTAGTTATTTGCCTTCCATATAAATTTTAGATCAAGTCTTGTCTATATCTAAAAATCTTATTTTTAAATTTTTTTTATTAATTTATTTTTGTTACAGATGTTTCTCCTTTTTTTCCCCATTGACACCCTTCTCCCCATCCCCCCACCCTGTATCCAGCTCTGTTGTCCATGACCATCGGTTACTCATACATGCATATAAGTTCTGTGGTTTATCTCTTCCCTCCCCCCACCATCCCCTCTTCTGAGAGTTGTCAGTCTGTACCCTACTTCCACGTCTCTGGGTCTACCCTCAGAGTGTTATGGTCATTATACTGATATTTGTCTTTCTCTGCCTGGCTTGTTTCACTTTGCGTAATACTTTCTAGGTCCCTCCATGTTGTCTCAAAGGATAAGAGATCTTTCTTTCTTACAGCTGCGTAGTACTCCATTGTGTATATGTACCACTGCTTTTTTATCCATTTGTCTACTGATGGACACCTGGGCTGTTTCCAGATTTTAGCTATTGTAAATAGTGCTGCTATGAACATGGGGGTACATATATTCTTTCTGATTGGTGTTTCAGGTTTCTTAGGGTATATTCCTAGAAGCGGGATCACTGGGTCAAATGGAAGTTCAATTTTTAATTTTTTGAGGTAACACCATAGTGTTTTCCATAGTGGCTGCACCAGTCTGCAGTCCCACCAGCAGTATACTAGAGTCCCCTTTTCTCCACACCCTCGCCAACACTTGTTGTTTGATGATTTGTTGATGGTGGCCATTCTGACAGGTGTGAGGTGATACCTCATTGTTGTTTTACTTTGCATCTCTCTGATGATTAGTGATGTTGAGCATTTCTTCATATGTCTCTTGGCCATTTGTGTGCCCTGTTTGGAAAGGTGTCTATTTAGCTCCTCTGCCCATTTTTTAATTGGGTTCTTTGTCTTCCTTTTGTTGAGTTGTATGAGTACTCTATATATTTTGGAAATTAACCCCTTATCTGATGTATCATTGGCAATGATGTTCTCCCATACAGTGGATTGCCTTTCCATTTTGATGGTTGTTTCTTTTGCTGTGCAGAAGCTTTTAAGTAGTCCCATGTGTTCATTTTTTCCTTTGTATCTCTTGCCTTAGGCATTATATCAGAGAAAATTCTGCTGCGTGTGATGTCCAGAATTTTGTTGCCTACATTTTCTTCTAGGATTTTTATGGATTCATGGGTCACATTTAAGTCTTTTATCCATTTTGAGTTTATTCTTGGGTATGGTGTAAGTTGATGGTCTAGTTTCATTTTTTGCATGTAGCTGTCCAATTTTCCCAACACCATTTATTAAAGAGGCTGTCTTTACTCCATTGTATGCTCTTGCCTCCTTAGTCAAATATTAATTGAGCATAATGTCTTGGGTCCATTTCTGGGTTCTCTGTTCTGTTCCACTGGTCTATATGCCTGTTCTTGTGCCAGTACCAGGCTGTTTGGATTACAGTAGCTTTGCAGTACAACCTGATATCCGGTATTGTGATCCCTGCTACTTTGTCCTTCTTTTTCAAGATTGCTGTGGCTATTCGAGGTCTTTTTTGGTTCCATATGAACTTTTGAAGTATTTGTTCTAGTTCTGTGAAATATGTCATTGGTATTTTGATGGGGATTGCATTGACTCTATAGATTGCTTTGGGTAGTATGGACATTTTAATGATGTTAATTCTTCCAATCCATGAACAAGGTATGTGCTTCCACTTTTTTATATCTTCCTCTATTTCTTTTTTTAATGTCCTGTAGTTTTTCTTTACTTCTTTGGTTAAGTTTATTTATAGGTATCTTTAATTGTGGGGTTGGTCTTTCTGGTATCCATCCTGAATCATCTCATCTCCTAGCATAAATTCATGTTTATCATGTAAATGGCACATGATAACAGAGATATTCTTATTATTTGGGAAATTCTAAGAGTTTTAATTCACCCTCCCAGGA